TCTCTTCTTTCACTTTCATCAAAGGCTTTTTAGTTCCTCTTCACTTTCTGCCATAAGGGTGGTGTCATCTGCATATCTGAGGTTATTGATATTTCTCAATCTTGATTCCAGCTTGTGCTTCTTCCAGCCCAGCATTTCTCATAATGCACTCTGCATATAAGTTAAATAAGCAGGGTGACAATATCCAGCCTTGATGTACTCCTTTTCCTATTTGAAACCAGTCTGTTGTTCCATGTCCAGTTCTAATTGTTGCTTCCTGACCTGCACATAGGTTTCTCAAAAGGCAGGTCAGGTGGTCTGATATTCCCATCTCTTTTAGAATTTTCCAGTTTATTGTGATCCACACAGTCAAAGGTTTTGACATAGTCAGTAAAGCAGAAATAGATGTTTTTCTGGCACTCTCTTGCTTTTTCAATGATCCAGTGAATGTTGGCAATTTGATCTCTGGTTCCTCTGCCTTTTCTAAAACCAGCTTGAACATCTGGAAGTTCACGATTCACATATTGCTGAAACCTGGCTTCGAAAATTTTGAGCATTACTTTACTAGTGTGTGAAATGAGTGCAATTGTGCAGTAGTTTGAGCATTCTTTGGGATTGCCCTTCTTTGGGATTGGAATGAAAACTGACCTTTTCCAGTCCTGTGGGCACTGCTGAGTTTTCCAAATTTGCTGACATATTGAGTGCAGCACTTTCACAGCATCATCGTTCAGGATTTAAAATAACTCAACTGGAATTCCATCACCTTCACTAGCTTTGCTCATAGTGATGCTTTCTGAGGCCCACTTGACTTCACATTGCAGGATGTCCAGCTCTATGTGAGTGATCACACCATTGTGATTATCTGGGTCATGAAAATCTTTTTTGTACATTTCTTCTGTGTATTCTTGCCACCTCTTCTTAATAGCTTCTGCTTCTATTAAGTCCATACCATTTTTGTCCTTTATTATGCCTATCTTTGCATGAAATTTTCCCTTGGTATCTCTAATTTTCTTGAAGCAATCTCTATTCTTCCCCATTCTTTTGTTTTCCTCTATTTCTTTGCATTAATCACTAAGGAAGGCTTTCTTATTCCTCCTTGCTATTCTTTGGAACTCTGCATCAAATGGGAATATCTTTCCTTTTCTCCTTTGCCTTTAGCTTCTCTTCTTTTCACAGCTATTTGTAAGGCCTCCCCAGACAGCCATTTTGCTTTTTTGCATTTCTTTTCCATTGGGATGGTCTTGATCCCTGTCTCCTGTACAATGTCACATACCTCTGTCCATAGTTCATCAAGCACTCTGTCTATCTGATCTAGTCCCTTAAATCTATTTCTCACTTCCACTGTATAATCATAAGGGATTTGATTTAGGTCATACCTGAATGGTCTAGTGGTTTTCCCTACTTTCTTCAATTTAAGTCTGAATTTGGCAATAAGGAGTTCATGATCTGAGCCACAGTCAGCTCCCGGTCTTGTTTTTGCTGGCTGTATAGAGCTTCTCCATCTTTGGCTGCAAAGAATATAATCAATCTGATTTCAGTGTTGAGCATCTGGTGATGTCCATGTATAGAGTCTTCACTTGTGTTGTTGGAAAAGGGTGTTTGCTATGACCAGTGCATTCTCTTGACAAAATTCTATTAGCCTTTGCCCTAATCAACCTCATGAAGGGGAAAATGAGATAATATGCACAGAATGCCTACATCAGTTGTCTGATAGGTTATCTCCTCCTATCTCTCAGGTTGCCAAATTTAGCAAATAAAAACACAGAATACCTGAGTGTCCTGCATTTTGTCTGACAGTCTTATTCCTACACCTTCCACACATGGTGGGACCAGAAGTACAGAAAGGTACCGAAATATATCAGGTGTGCTACAAAGCAAAACTAGAAATACCCATCTCTGAAGTCACAGAAAATCTCTCCTCTCTGAAAGTTAATTGCAAAGTAAAGAAAATGAGAGTAGTTACTAGACTCAAAACACATGTTGCATGTTAACGAGAGGTAGAAACTAAACTTTTATGAAGGAAATTGAAATCTAAAAGATCAGTCTCTAAATAAGGTCCATGATTCGCCACTGACTTGACAACATGAAAAAAAAAACAACCCAAAAAACTAAGATCCATGATTCTTGACTATGACTGCAAAATTGTTCTTACCTTTTGAATAACATTATTTATTCAGAATTTGTTACCTTTTGAATAATAATATTCTTACATTTTTGAATAACAATCTATACATTTTTACAAGTGAGAAACTAACAATGCAGTTTATTATATTTTCATTTGTGTTTTCTAGGAGAAAATTGCTCCACAAGATCAGATAAACAGACATTTGACAAGGCCACCCCCAGATTATAAAGACCAAAGAAGAAATGTGGGCAACATGCAACCAGCTGCTCAGTATTCTGGTAAGTGTTCTTAAAAATTAATAAAAATCCTAACTGTGAAAAGAACACTGTTCAGTTGTTAGTATTCCCTCCTTTCCTCTTTTCATGTTTAATTGTAACATCTTTCTTAGACTGCTTCTCTAGCTCCCATTTAACTTTCAATCAGGACCAAACTGGACTATTTTTTGGTCCAGGCATTAGTTTTTCTAACTTATATTTGTTCCTCATTCATGGTTTTCACTGCTCTCAGGATTACCTCTGAGAGTCTGAAAAGCATAAATATTTTCTAAATGCTAGGTTCAACCATTCTTCTCCCAACAGCATATTTTGACTCAGACAGTGTAAGATAAGCAGATGTTTCACCCTCACGGTCCCATTTGTAATTTACATAGAGTCCAATGTTTCTGTCTCCACTTTGGGCTCATCTCCCTAAGACAAATAGCCCTATTACCAAAAAATAATTGAAAAGCAAATTATGTCTTTAGGAAGTCTCTCAGAAATACCAAAGGTGGATTACATGTAAAATATAAAGCAAGGGACTTCCCTCGTGGTCCAGTGGTTAAGGTCCCTAGCTCCCAATTTCTGGGGCCCAGGTTTGATCCCTGGTCAGGGAATTAGAATCCCACATGTCTCAGTGAAGAGTTGGCATACTGCAACTAAGATTTAGTGCAGCGAAATATATATATATACACACACACATACATATATATGTATATATAAAGCTATATATATATATATATATGTATGTATGTATATATAAAACAAAACTTCTTAACAGATCTCTCAATATAACACAGATGACAGACACTACCCCTAAAATCTCTCTCCTTCCAGTCTCTGAACTCTAAAAAACCTCTCTCAAACCTAGCCTGTGTGGCCCCTGCTTTCTCCTAGTCAGCATCTATTCCAGTCTTTTCTATCCAGAACTCCCTGGACCTTCTCATGTCAATTAAGCTTGTCCTTGAGTGTCCCAGATTCTCTCTGCTTTACCTGTTATCTTCATCTGTCCAGGAAACCATAAAGGAGATGCTCTAAAGAGGGAGGGGTATGTGAATATTTCTGTTCATTAATATTTTCCGATCCTGTTAAGTGTAGTAGCCAATATATTGTTCTAGTTTATTTCAACTCTTTCAAATGCACTAGATTGCCTCTTTCCACTAAAATCAGGAGTGGGATATATGTATTCCATTCTCTAAGATTCCTTTGCCTCGGTGCAAAAACAGGATTCGCTGTTTGAGTCTGTCCTCAAGGAGGCTGAATGACAAGATGGGTTTTATTTGGAGCATGGCTTCTTATACCACAGCCTTCTTGGCCCACCAGCGGGCTTGGGGTAAGCTAAGCGCACTTTGAAATACTATGCCACATTCAAAGCGAACGTTTGGGGTTTTTTTTCCCCAGCCATGTAAGATCCCCAGCGAGAGCAGGGAGAGGCTGGTTAGTGGCTCTATCATGTTATCAGGGGTCCAGGCTTCTTTATTTTTCTACTCTGCCTTCTTGAGCATGTAGCTTCCATTGTAAAGGTTGCCTGGTGGCCACCACATCACCCAGCTTCGTTTCCATATTCCAGGTAGAAAGATGAAAGAAGGGAAGAGGTAAAATGGCCTTCCAAATGAATCAGATTCCCTTTTTAAAGTAGGGTTTTTGTGAATACTCAACTAGTAATTTCTACCTTTAGCCAGAATTTATTCTTATGGACACCCCCCACCCCCACCCCATCAGCAAAGAAGTTTGGCAAATTGTGGCTTTTCAGCTGGGCACATTGCTGCAGAATGAAGGCTGTGTTTCTAAGGGAGACATGGAGGTTGGTTATTTAGACCTATAAGTCTCTTCCACAGTGTATATGGGCATTTCGTAAGGGAGGCATCTTTAGAATCTAGCTGCTAACTCCCAGATGGGTAAGAATCACTGCTCTAGAGTGCTGTATTTCCCATGTCTTCTAAGAATGAAATAAACATCAAGCACAACACAAACTCTTTTATCATTCTTTATTTCAATCTGAGGACAATAATAGTCACTTCGGCCAGATGTTAATCTTAGAAATGCTGTATGAAAAGCACCTAGAACAATTTCTACCACATATCAGGAGCTTCTAAATGTTGACTGTGATTAATATTTTGTGATCTATATGGAAATTCTCTTCTGATCGTTTAAAAATATAGCTCTCTAGAGGGGTAGGATGGGGGAGTGGGAGGGGGTACATGTATACATATAGCTGATTCATGTTTACAGCAGGAAATAAGACAACGTGGTAATAATGCACTTATACTCCAGTTTAAAAAATACTTTGATAAATAATGAATACATTTTAATTAATAAATAATGTGTGTGTGCACACACTGTAAAGCAATTATACTCCAGTTTAAAAAACACTTTGAATGATAAATAAATGAATAATTTTTAAGAGTGTAAAGTAACCTAAATAAAGGGTGCAAATTTTGAAAAGAAAAAAAAAAGACAATAACACCAGCCAAATATATCAACTTTTGAAAGATGTCCTCTTAATACAACATGTTCACTCCATAACCATCACCATCCTAGACTTTGGTCTTACAGGCTATCACCTTTGGAAAACTGAATTGAGTTGAACTTTTGCAAAATTGATTCTATGCTAATGTCACCCCAGATGTTTGCTACTTAAGCGACCCTAACAATAAATGTTTTGGAAAACATAAAAAAGCACAGCTCTACTCACAAACCTTTTCAGAGCATATTGTTAAAATAGGGGGCATCTACAGGGAGTGATTTTTAAAGCCTCTAAAGTGTTTTCCATAGCGTTTCTATAATGGAAATTGCCTTTTTGTGAAACCTCCAGATACCAAGATGATATTGCTTAATGTCATTAGCAGCCTGTGAACTCTGAGTTATTGTCCAAGTATCTCCTATCTGACTCTGATCCCTCTTCATTAAACACTGCCCTGCAAACACAGTCAGGGCCCTGTGCTAAACCTGGAGATACAAGGAGACACAAGAGACAGCTCCTGCTTCAAGAGGAATGTAGTCTAGTAGCACGTATTTTTAAACAAACAGCAAGGACTTCTGTCTTTCAAGGTGTGTACCATGCTAGCTATCCTCAAGCAGTAGGGGATAGCCTTGGGTTATAATTGCAGCCATTCTTTTTTCACACACTGCCATTCCTATTTTCATATGTGTCTAATTATCTGTTTCTCAGTATCTCTGATTTCCAAGTTATAGCTTTGTTTCATTGTCTCATTCATTCATTCAATAATTATCAATTGAATAATTATCAGTTGAATGCACCATCCACTACAGTTCGAGAATATGATAGTGAACAAAACAGGCAAAAATTCTTTCTCTCATGTAACTTATCATCTAGCAAGCATTTTTATTTACCTTTCTGGCATTCCATTTTTACCTCTCAAGATGTCTTTCCCATGATGATTTTAACCTCCCCAAGCCAGAAAGATTTCAATGTACTGATTAATCACCATCTAATAGGGTGGAGCCTCCCTATTTAGCAGGCTGTGGTTGAACAGTCCCACATTCAATCACTTATTTACAGGCATCGATGTAGCCTCAACTGTAGCTCCATGGATTTCCCAGTACAGAAGCTAAATGCTAAGTAAAACTTGAAAGAGCAAATGCTGCTTGGGAGAGGAGGCTGGAATATCCGGGAAAGCTTAATGAAGGAGCCTGGACCTTGGCCTGAGCCTTTGAAGAAAAGATAGGACTTGGTGAAGTAAGAAGGGCATCCTGTGAGAAGGAAATGGCATGAGTGGAAGTAGCTCATGGTGTGTGGATACCGATGCCATGATAACTGTATCTCCTAGAGCAGAGTACTCTCCGTATGGAGATTATCACTGAAACAGGGATTGCACTGAATTCCAAATGTTTGAAGAGATGGGAATTTACCCATCTTGTGGCAAATTCTTGAGTGGGGATGATAAAGATGAAAACTGGACATGATTTTCAGGCCATAGATTTGGACCATTGATCTAGTAGCCATGTATGAGATGCATCCACATGTTCTAATTTGGACCCCGGGGTAACCAGTAGGATGGATTTTAGGACAGCTGGGAAGTCAAAGTTGTAGTCTTTGGTCTTGAAACAGAGTAAAGGTAATTCAGAATGGAAGATTGACTATCATTCCTCAGTGTTTCCAGAGGGAGAGTAAAGCCTGAAAAATAGAACCATTCTATTTCAGTCTTTTTTCTATAATGTGTAAACTCTTGACCAAGGGATAACTTAGGGTGATGCTTCCCCCCAAAAGCTGTCATCCCTTTCATGTAATATGCTGAGATGCTTATTTCTCTTACTTTGTCCTTACAGCCAAAGGCAGCCTCAGAGCCGATGAGCTGTTGTCAGCTGCTGTAAGAGAGGAGATAACCTGCTGTTATGAACTAACATAATTCTCTTCTTTTTCTTAGGTGGCTCATCGACAGCGAATTTAAACTCTAACCAGGCTTTGGCAAACCCAGTTTCAACGCACACCATCCTAACTCCAAATTCCAGCCTCATGTCTCCTCCTCATGGGACACGAATGCCGTCCTTACCCACGGGCGTTCAGAATGTAGGGATGTACGGGAACCTGCCTTGTGGTCAGCCCAGTACATACAGCGTCACTCCAGGAATGAGTCAACTGACCCAGCCGAGGAACCCGAACCAACTGATAGCAAATCAGAGCAGCCCTCTGATGCCACGGCCGCCCACTTTAGGGCCCAGTAACAACAACAATAATAATGTGGCCACTTTCGGGGCTGGATCTGTTGGCAGTTCGCAACCATTAAGACCAAATTTAACCCACAGCATGGCCAGCATGCCAGCACAGAGAACGTCGAATGTAATGATCACGTCCAACACGGCAGCACCCAACTGGGCCTCTCAAGAAGCAACAGCCAAACAACAGGAGGCGCTGAAGTCTGCAGGAGTGCGCTTCCCCACCGGCACGACCACAGCCTATGCGCCAAACCAGTCACTGCAACAGGCGGTAGGCAGCCAGCAGTTTTCCCAGAGAGCAGTGGCTCCTTCTAATCAGTTAACACCAGCCGTGCAAATGAGACCCATGAACCAGATGAGCCAGACACTAAATGGACAAAACATGGGTCCGCTCCGAAGTCTGAATCTCAGACCAAATCAGCTAAGCACACAGATTTTGCCGACGATGAACCAGGCAGGGACAGGGCTGAGCCAGCCGAGGACAGTCAGCCAGCCACCCTCCCTGGCAGCCGGCGGTTTTCCTTCACCCAACCAAAGTTCCAGGGCATTTCAAGGAACTGACCATGGCAGCGACTTAGCTTTTGACTTTCTCAACCAGCAGACTGATAACATGGGCCCTGCCCTAAACAGTGATGCTGATTTCATCGATTCTTTATTGAAGACAGAGCCTGGTAATGATGACTGGATGAAAGACATCAATCTTGATGAAATCTTGGGGAACAACTCCTAGAGGAGAAGAGGGAGACAGTTCACAAACTGCAAGCACTAGAAGGCAGTATTTTACAAGGACTCTGGAAAGGCCAAACTGTTGACTTTTAGTTGGACTCTAGGGAAGATACCTTGGCTAAAAAATGGACAGCAGAAAGTAACTGTAGTGGTGAACGTTTTGGTCCAAATGCTTGTTTTAAATCTCAAACCTGGAAGTAAAGCATTGGGATCACCTTTGCCTATCTAAACCCCAGGGCACAGTATCCAGTTTATCCAAACAGAACGGTGATGTCGATGTACAATTAGTTGTATAAAATAGGCTTCCCAAGGTCCTCTTCTCCCCGAAAGAAAAGGAATAGGACTTGTAGCTCGTTTAAATCCCATGCAGAGGTACTCGTTCCAAGCAACGAGCAACAAATTCCTTAATCTGCTCCAACAGATGTATGTGTGGTTTAACCTCTCCACTCCATCTTTTCATTTAGGTTTCCTAAAACTTCCAGGGTTGGTTGAAATGTTATAGATTTGTTTGGAGTAACCAGTGACCTAAGTGAGGGAAAACCGGAGAACACAGAGAATATCCAGTGGACTCTCAACTTTCTTCCTCAGATTCATCCCTTACTTTTCCAGTTTTCCCACCGATCCTGTCCTTCAGCAAGATGCTGTGTCTAGTAAGGAACAGGAACACAGAACTGGTCAACTTTTTTCCACAACCAGTTTCCAAACCCAGTTTCTGAATCTTAAGCTTCAATTATGGTCTGTCCTAATCATACTGAAATATTAGTGCACACCAGTCTGCATCGGATCCCACTATTTAAAAGAGAAAACACTCCATTGGGCATTGCTTTAAAGGAGATGTATTAACCACAAATAGCCTGAGGTGTTACTTATTGTTGACGATGCCTGCTGGTTAGTTTCCATACTGAGTGAAACTGAACCTGGCCCTGTCTGCTTATTTTGATGGTCAGTGACTGCTTTGTAAGAAAAGGAAGTTTGGAGGCCAAAACTGAAATTATAAAATGTCATGTTTTGGTTGAAGGTAAGAAGCAAAAGGTCAGAACCAGGGATGGTGGGTACACATCTATGTCATAGGGTTTGAAGGAAAGTGTAATTGAAACAAAACAAAAAAAAAAACAATCTGGCCTTATTTAGACACATTATTTGGATGAACAACTAAATAGAATGTGATCTGTCAGTAGCAGTCTGCTCATTCTGTTGTCCCTGATGGGATGAATCATTGCCACATGCTAGATGGGCCCTTCATATCCAGGTTTTCTCCCTCAGGGCAGAGCACTGTATCAAAGAAAGAGTTCCTGCTGAATTGAAACAGATCAGCTATAAAATGGGGAATATGTATGCTGATTTGAGATGTATGCAAAATATTACTATCATTTTCCTCATTACAGAGGAACACAGGTTATCTTTAGCCTGTTTAGTTATATACTCACATATTCAATTATCAAAAGATATTTAACTGAAATCATTTAATAACTCTTTAAATACTTGTTCTAGGAAGAACACATTTTGAAAGTTCTGCAAAGCCCTCTTGTGATCTTTAAAATGTCTAGAAGCACTCTCTTTCTTTTACACAATACCAACATCACTGGCCCAGAATCTTTTCTGTGCTAGGTTGTAAATATAAATAAATTACTTGTTTTGTAAACTTTTGTAAAGAATATTTTGGTAGAAATACTTAAAGCATATTCTTTGGGTTATATTTATACATATGTGAAATAAATATACTATCAAAAGGTTATATTTTATACAAAAAGTAAATTGTTACCTTTTGTATGCTAATATACAAAGTTTTGTATAATATGATGGTTTATTTTTAGCTCTTACACTTCACCCTAGATGGTCAAGTGGGAACTTTTGAAAACTATCAAGAGGCTTGTTAGACAAATTTATATTCTGAAACCTCAATAAGAAAGCATTCCAGGTTTCAACTCTTTCCTTTTTATTTTTCCGGCTCCCAAATCCTCTTTTAAGCCCATAGTTCCCGTGTCTTGTTTATTCTGCTGCGCACAGTGTATTGTCCTTGTTGCATGTTCTACTGTGTTTTCCCATTTTTATAAAACAGTGTTTCTCCATGCAAAAAAGTAAGGAAGAATTTATGTACATATGAACACTTTTGTTTTATGGCTCCTCCATGTTACTGTATATATATCTGCCAGCACGTCCCAGTTACACTCCTGTGATTCAGCTTATTTTTACCCTAACATAAATAGTATGTTTTTGTAGTAGATATCAAATTTAAGAGATAAAGCAATCAGAATGTTTGGATTTTCTTCTATCTTAATGTGAATTTCATAATTAATGTCTATTTATTCAGCTATTCATTAAAATACAGGATTCTTTGGAAAAAAAAAAAACGGTGTAGTCTATAGTTTCTGTTTGTTGGCAGCCTATTACCAAAGATGATGTAAGCTGAGATAATGACGATTTGATAGACATTTGCAGCCAAAACTTCAGGATTTACAACTTAAAAGCTATGGGAATGCAATCTCCCTTTTATAGAAATACCAGACTTCTTAATTGTTGGCACTGCTTATCATTCTAACACAGTATCCATGAGGTAGAAGTAATTTTTCCTTTTTTTTAAATTCAAAGACTAGAAAGTAATTTAAGCAAATAATTCATTCTTGGCTTTGTGTTAAGCCCAATGAAGACAGATAACTCTGTTCTAAGTGAATGCACTAATATTACTTGCATTACTGTAACTGTACCCATAACTGTAAAGATTTCAACTTGTAAGACAAGTATTTTGTATCGTGTATAATTTCATGTGTTAAAAAAAATAGCTTAAAAAATTCCGAAGTGGTTCTCTTGTATGAAATGATGTTTCAGTCACCAACAATACTGTTGCACTATCACAGAAAGTTCTGATGGGCAAATTTATTCTTTGGGAAGCTTCTACCACTAGTGAAGTGCTGACCTGTCTCATTTCAATATTCTTTATTTCACTTAGAAAGTTTGTATTAAGATCCCACATCCACAACAACTACCAAATACTGGAGAAACATTGCCTAATTCTCAGGCATGGTGAACCCTTGCCTGGCCTGCTGTGTGGCATTTGGTCAACCAGGCTGACTGAACACCAAACAAGGTAAACACAGCCTCACTGAGCATATTTACACAGTCTTTCTTGGGAGTCAAGGAGATTGAGAGAAAGATGGGCCTTTGCAGGAGACAAGGGGAACCTTTCTATCAAATTTTCTCGCTCAACTGTTGAAATATGTTGTTGGGGTTCCATTGTCCCTCCCTCCTCTGCCAAAAAAAGATGTGTGACATTATCCTTTTTAATAGCATTATTAACGGAGCAATAATAAAATTGATATTTTATGTCCAATGCCTGTCCAATGACTCTGGAAGGTTGTAAACAAAGTCAGCATCAAAGAGAAAGATAAATACCGTATTCTAACACATATATATGGAATCTAGAAAAATGATACTGAATAATTTATTTACAGGGCAGCAATGGAGAAACAGACATAGAGAATAGACTTATGGACATGGGGAGAGGGGAGGAGCAGGTGAGATGTGTGGAAAGAGTACCATGGAAGCTTACATTACCATATGTAAAATAGATAGCCAACAGGAATTTCCTATCTGGCTCAGGAAACTGAATCAGGGGCTCGTATCAACCTAGAGGGGTGGGATGGGGAGGGAGATGGGAGGGAGTTTCAAAAGGGAGGGGGTGTATGTATACCTATGGCTGGTTCATGTTGAGGTTTGACAGAAAACAGCAAAATTCTGTAAAGCAATTATCCTTCAATAAAAATAAATAAATAAAAATTTTTTTAAAGATAACAAAAGAAGCACATAAAAAAAAAGAAAAAAAAACCCATAGTCAACAGGATCCATTGTTATTCATGATTTATGAAGACTTACTCCTCCACCCAAGAAGGACATCAAGGACAGAAAGTGTCCAGGAACTAGAAAGTCTATCTGAAAGCCCTTGGTGAGGTTAGGCCAATGGACACATTTTTATATTTTCTTTTTTGTTCATCTTTCTTATACTACCCAGTACTATTAAGTCTGCCATGGGGCAATCATGTCTCCAAATGCCAAAAAAAGAGTCAAGAAAAATAAAAATGGATGACAACAAAAAATTCCTAGGTAGAAAAGACAAAGGCAAGAGACTCCTACAGGATGCAGTTTGTACTTTCGAGAGGGAAGAGATCCTAGAAATGAAGCAACGTCAAAGTTGATTGAAAACCTCACGAGAGAAAAGACGTGGGGGAGTCTAAATTGGAAAATTTTTAAATGTACATCAATATACACTTCACGTATATGTAAACACACTACACATTATATTTATACTTAATCTAAATAAGGCATAGGTGATAAACATGGGACAACACAAGTGTTTGTGTTTGTGATGGAATAAATGAATGAAGGAGTTAAGCTATTGAATGGGTCGTTCTAATGGCTTCCCGATGAGTTGAATTTGGAAAAGAAAATAGAAAAATAAGAATGAGACAGAAACTCTGGTGGGTGACAGAAACTCTGAGATACGGGGGGGTGGGAGTCACAGGCTGGAGGGGTGTGAAAGCAATAGGCATTACAACTACTTTTTGATCAACCTAGAGGGGTGGGGTGGGGAGGGAGATGGGAGAGAGTTTCAAAAGGGAGGGGATATATGTGTACCTATGGCTGATTCATGTTGAGGTTTGACAGAAAACAACAAAATTCTGTGAAGCAGTTATCCAAAAGGATAATAACATTTTATTGAAATAAAAAAACAAATTTTAAAACAAAGATTAACAGATTTGATCACACAGATACTTAATTTTTCTGTACTAAACAAAGACTGCCTACCTGCCTGCTAAGTCACTTCAGTTGTGTCCGACTCTCTGTGACGCCATGGACTGTATAGCCTGTCAGGCTTGTCTGTCCATGGGTTCTCCAGGCAAGAATATGGGAGTGGGTTACTAGGCCCTCCTCCAGGAGATCTTCCTGACCCAGGGAATCGAACCTGCATGTCCTTCAGCTCCTGCATTGCGGGTAGATTCTTTCCCTGGCCTAAGACAAATGGAAAAGTATATTTTCAACATATATAATATGCAAATGGTTTATAACCTTACTTTACTTTTAAAAGATACATTGGGATGTAATTCACATACCATAAAATTTACCCATTTTAAGTGCAGGGGGGAAAAAAGGAAATAAAAGACAGCAAAAATAAAGATGAAATATATAATTCTAAAATTATCAAATCAATCCTAGTATGTACCCATAGAAGGATACCTGAGACGAAAGAGGGTAGACATATGAGTGCAAAAGAGAGAGAAAGCTCAGCGTCTTCCTCTGTGCTTGCCAAAGGTAGTACACAGGCTTAAATGGTGTATCTGCTATTTCCATTTTATATCTCTGTGACTGTGTTTCCTCACTCCAAGATGAGGACTAGGGGCTGAGATGATTCTCATTTCTTCCCAACTCTAAAACTCTGTGATTGATTTTTTTTTCCAAAGCTAAGTGGAAAGTTAACCAAAAAGACTCAAAATACAGAAATCACTGTCCAATCAACCTTTTGAAAAATTTCAGATTTCCAGTCACCTTTATTTACCAAAGCATCCTTCTTGAAAATTAGATCACATGAGAATGACATTTCATCAAAAGTAAGCCAGAACTTGTCCATAGACAAATAGAAAAATAACATAGATGTAGGTGCCCACTGACTAAATACCAGTCCTGAAAATCAAAAGCTGGGGTGTGATAGTAAATGGTCATTTTCTTGTGAGATCATAGAATTTCATAAACTATTTGCCTACCAGTGAGAAGAAATTCCATACTTCATACATACAATGAGCAGTGTACTTCATTGGCTATATAATAATGGACTTTCGTGAGTTTTAAATGGCAGTATAATATGTTTTAAATACACTTCCTAAGTTCCTATAACAGACAAAGTACAGGTAATGCCCTACTATTAACTTCATTGTCAATAATAACATTACTAAAACACCACACCGTGAGAATTAAGAAAACATACTGACCTTAGATTTTTAAAACTAAATGCTGTCGTCTCTAACCTGCATGCAATAATATTAAAAGCAGCCTTTTGTTGAGTTTCCTTTTTGCCAAATTGAATCATCATTAGTGCCGCTGCTGCTGCTGCTGCGTCTCTTCAGTTGTGTCCGACTCTTTGCAACCCATAGACGGCAGCTCACCAGGCTCCTCTGTCCAAGGGATTCTCCAGGCAAGAATACTGGAGTGGGTTGCCATTTCCTTCTCCACATTAGTGCGGGGATATGCATGACTATGTAGAAACTTTTTTACAATACTTAGAATTCTATCAGTAAAAGGAAAGGAGAAAGAGAGAATAGTATGTAAATGACTGTAAACACATAGAAGGTTTTTACAGGGTTCTCTCAGCAAAAAGGATAGAAGGAGAAAGGGAAAAAGGGAGAAAAAGACCTCAAGCAGGCTTAGTGAAAAGAATTTACTGGTGGACGTAACTACAAAGGCCAGGTGCTAGTTCTGGATTTAGGCACGGCTGAATCCAGCAGGTAACAACGTCATCAAGAATTGGTTCTTTTCTGTCCCTCACCTTTGCTGCCCTGTTCTCTTGACTACTTTCTCAGGCAGGCCCCTCTTCATGGTGGCAAGATGGTTGCTAGAAGCTCCAGACAAATCCTTGGAACTCCCAGTCTCGTGTGACCAACTTTGCATCTCACAAGCTTTGATTCGGGCATGTGCCCATTCCCAGACAATCACTTTGGCCAGAGAGGTGAGGTCTGATTAGCAAGTCCGGAGTCAAATGCCTTTCCCTAGAGGCAGACGAAGTGTTAATACTACCGAACTATATGAACTAAGGGTAGAAAAGAGGTGATTTCTCAAAAGAAAATCTGTATTGTCAGAAAAAAAGAGGGTTACTGAGTCCAAGCTCGCTCTGCTTGCCACGTGTCAGGCCAATGAATCCAAGAGGTATTGAGGCAAGGAATTACTTTATTTGGAGAGCTGGCTGACTGAGAAGATTGCAGAGTAATATCTCCAAATAACTGTCTTACCTGGGTCTGGATGCCAGGTTCTTTTATGCATCAGAGATCAGAGATGGGGGGAGGTAAGGAAACAAAGTAAAAAGGCCATTAATCTTGCAAATACCCCCTAGAATGGCAAGCCATGTGGGGGGAATGTGTTCATTTCTTTCTTCCTGACATCCACAGGTGGACAAGGTCCTGAACTAAGGAACTTTAAAGGGCAGGCGAGGGGCAGGATTCTCTGAAGCAGGCCTTTACGTATGATTATAATAACAAAAGCAATGGAAAGCAAGTCAAAGAAATAACTCCAACCTGGAGTCAGAATTGACTCCTTCTTGCAGCAAGAAGAAGAGAGAAGGAAGTAGGGACAGAAGGAGGGCAGAGGGCAAGGGAGGGAGATAAAGACATTGAAAATAAAACCCCAAATGTGTACTAGCATTTTTTGACTGCAGTATTGCAGTATTTCCACACACACTGGTTTTCTCACATCGTCAGTGTCAAAATCTCACTAACAACTCAAGCATACTCAACAACTTCCAGATCAAACCTACTTACTGCATCCACCTCCTAGTCCCACACACCCTAGTGAGATACGCTCTATTCTGCCAGGTCAAGATGAACCAGCAATCTAAGCTCAAAAGATGTTTATCCCCTCCCAGTGTATGCAGGTGGAGAAAGAATAGAATGGTGGTAATAAGGAGTTCTATTTGGAAGAGAAACTGACATGTAAACATCACATCCTTCCGACCAAGAAGATCAAGACTTTTCTGCCTTGGAGCCTTCACATCAATGGTCTGGGCAGGAGAAGCATTAGGAGCTCCCCTCTTTCCTCAGGATGCATGCCAGCTGCATTTTACAATGAGAATAATCACCCCTTTCCTCAGGAAGTATATTACAGTAGGTGTTGGGGTGGGGCCCAGGGGATCTGACTTATCTCAAGTCCCAATTATATCTCCCACTACCATGCTCATCTGTTTGAGTGTGCGGTCATTTTAGTTTAGGACTGAGAGTTCAGCTTGTCAAAAAGCATCACTGGCTTCTAGTCAGGGAAATAAGAGCCACTTCAAATCGTTAAAGTGTCAGAGAAACTCCGATGCAAGGAATTGGTGCTAAGGATTGGTTCCATGGGTGATGGATGAGCTGAGAAGCTGAATGGGATGATTACGGCATCCTGAGATGAGCGAAGAGTCAGACACGACTGAGTGACTAACACTTTCACTTTCTTCAGAGCACAAGGTTTAAATAAAAGGAACAGAGCTACTGTAGAGTCAGACTTGTTCTTCCCTACTGCGTGAGGAAGCATAGATGTCTTCTTCCTCATTCTTGTCACCTTGTGATGACAAGAAAGTTACCTTAGCCTCAAGTC